ACGAAGGAACACTAACGATGCGAATCTGAACACAAACGAGTGGAATAACCATTAAAATAAAAAGATGAAGGAAAAATATCAATTAATTTTACGTCATTCTATTCTCTGCGCAAAGTAGTAATGAAAAAAATCAGTATTGACAGAAAGTACTTTTTTTTTCTATAGATGTTTCTCGACAAAACGCAGTCACAGCCGAGTCTTATACATGTACAAAATTCAAAAAGTAAAGTCACAGAGTAAGGCCTTATGCTATAACCCTTCTCCAACATGAATTTGCTGAAAAATAATATAACTGCATAAAATCAAGCCAATTTAAAATCACAAAAAATAAAAAGGATGAGCTTGTAGAGAAAGTAATGATGGGCGAATACAGAGGCAATAATGCTTACTCATACACTTTTGGCTTTTTTTGAGCATGATTGGTGTGGATTTGTCCTTTTGATCAGATTCAACTATTGCCTTATAGTAGCTCGGTGACAAAATGGGACCGTCAGGGAAGCTGTACGGATCAGTAGCTTTTGAGAAATAGCCGCGGCCGAGCAGTTCACAAGTAAAGCATTCACAAGCACAATTCCCGACATCAAAGAAATGGTCACCATAATAGATGAATATTTCATCACCCTTTTTAATGTCTCGTTTGGCTTCCAGGCTCATGCGAGCATCCCCATCACAGTTAATAGTAAACTATAAAGCGAAGAGTAAGATGAAAGCAAAAGCCACCTCGCAATTTGGTTGGCAATCGTGGTTTACAAAAGCGGCAGGCCCCAGCCAAAGCTGTGATCTATTCTTCCTCGAAGAGTACATTACAGAGAAGTCATTTTGTTTATGCCTAAGAAAGGAACTTTCTTCATCTGGGTTGAGCTCGGCAATACATCCAATAAGAGTAAATATACGAGAGCCTTTTTCCCTACAAAGCTTGACAAAAACAAAAGAATACCAATTTTTTGTTGAAAATATCGCCGCACCGACATGGTTTTCAGAAGCATATCTCCAGCAAGGTCTAATTTCAACACCAGATCTGTCATCAA